GTGGAGAGCGGTCGGGAACACGGGTGAAGTTGCCTCGGGCTTGTACCCGAGGTGAAACCGGCTCGGGTGTAATGATAGTATAACTTGTACCCGAGGTGGCCGAGCTGCATCTCGTGGTGATGAACGTGTCCCCGAGGCAAGACTAAGAGTGCTCTGGGCCGGTGTGAATATCTCCTGAGGTGATTAGGAAGTCTCCAAAGCAACGGAGTAGAGAGAACATATGCCGAGGTGTTTCTCCTATCGATGTTTGGCTCGGTCTCAAGATATGGGTGAAATCCGACCCCAACAAACGTATAGTTTTTGAGAGATCAAACAAAGAGCTCACTGAATTATGAGGGCACCTTGCTGTCAAGATCACCCATTTATGGGCAGCACAAAACTTTTAATCTCATGTATAATCTTTGAATCAATAAATCAAATCGAAAATAAATAGCAAAGATGTGACATACGATAGTGAGGAAGAGATTCGATCGGGGGATTTGCAGATGAAGATTTGGAAAGAGAGATTGCAAGAGAGAAGAGATGGATTGGATGCTTGAGATTTCTGCAATAGTGTAGCAATACGAGTCTGAAATTGGCGGATTCGAGCTGAGAGAACAATAAAGAATTATGCCTCTAATCAACAGCTACATTTCTCTTTGTATATGTCACTCATTTTTTTTTAGTTCTACATGGACACCATGTTCACGACCAAGCGGGAGAGATGGTATCATAGTCGTTGATGAAGTGGAGAGCTTTACCTCAAGAAGATGCCACCTAGGAAGATGAAGAGCAGTTGCTTGCTAGCTTTCCAGATTATGTCCAACACCTTGAAGACAATGCTGTTGTTCGAGGATGGGATATTGATGGGCCAAAAATATCAAGCCGGTCCGTGTGTGTGAGAAGGTTGAATTCTCAGCACGAAAACTAGGCTGTTTATGTTTTATGTTTTACGATTTTGATTTTATAGTTCTATTTAGATTTGGATATTATTGTTTTCATGTATATTTTCTTTATTCTTTTGGGATTTGATAGAATTTTAATGGGTGTTTTCTTATATAAACCAAGGAAATCAATAAGAAAAGTAGTCGTAACTACTTATTTTTAAATAGTTTGTCATTGTTCTTATTGCTCTTGATTGGGATCTATCAGTCTTGGATTATATATCACATGTCACGATTTGATTTTTGCAACAGCTGACAGAGACGTTTTTTGCAAACCCAAAAAATCTTTCAAATTATGACAAAAATCAAATCAGTTCTTGCGATTAATGATAAAAAAAAAAAGAGGTGTCAACATAGCTTTTTAGCCAAAAATATATGGGTATTCTATAATTACTTGATTAATAGTAAAAATTTTTTATTATATAATTCAAATACGTTACTAGGTTACTTGTCTGTCCATTGTATCATTTTGAGTTGCCACTTTTAAAACAAAATTTGAAATAACGTAAATGATACTAAAAATAAAAATAAAAAAACATTTCCGTTAAAAATATAAATAAAAGAACATTTCCGTTAAAAAATATTAAAAAATTATAATACTTTTGTATTACTAAATATATAGCTACTTAAATGATAATAACGCCCAAAAATATATTAAAACAATCAATAACAACAAACCCCCGCGTAGCAGGGGTTAATAACCTAGTACTATATAAAAGTTGCTGGTATAAGCTTTTAATAATATCTACCTGAAATTTAAACAGAATCAATTACGGATTTTGCCATTTTTCAAAATGGCATTTATGAATTTTGCCATTTTTTGAATAGTTTATGGATTAGTCATTTTTTAGACTTCAAAAAATTGATTTAATATACGTTTTATTCGTTATATTTGGGTTTAGTCGGTTGCATTTGTTTTTAGGATTTAGTATTTGGTATAAAGTACGTATTTTTGCCAAAAAAACATAAATACGTATATTTTTAAATGTTGAAAATAGCAAAATCCGTAAACTATTCAAAAAATGACATGGCATTTTCGTAAGATTTTTTTTTAAATGATATTTTAGACAAGAATCCCTTTTAAACGATCAATCTAAAGTAAATAAATGTGTACTAGTTCTACAAGTGTTTGAATGAACTATCTTTGCTGTAAAAAAAAAAAAAAAAAAAGTCAACGCTCAATTTTTCTGTCAGTTTGCAAATAAAAAATTGATTCACGAACTTTCCATCATGTCCCTCAATAATTTATTTCAACCGAGTTGCTTATAAGCATCAGAGCCGATTGCACTACCATAGACCAACAAAATCCTTTCCGTAGCTGTTCAAGGTCTTGCACAGAGACAGAACATATTGAAGGTATGATTAGGTTACCTCTTCTTTTTTTTTGTTCTTTTTTTTATTGCTTATACCCCAGAATATCTTGCTTATAACCTTTTAACTGTAATCTAGAATGGTGCAAATGGATCCTTATTAAAGGAATACGATATGGTGAATTGGAACATTCATCAACATTTTGCTAAACTTTAACCATTTATGTTGAAAGAGATGTAATGAACATTCCACTCATTCTATTAATTCCACACAAAAATTTAAAAGAAAATATCCTCTGCAATTTGGAGAAGAAGGAATGAGATAAAACTATTCACTTATTTTTTTTGTATCCCATTCATATGACCTCACGCATTTTATTTCTTGTATTCATTTCAATATTTCATGGTAACAATTTAATTTCTGACTTGTAGTGGCATGTAGTTGATTTGTTTGCTGTAATATGATTTAATTCATGAAATTTTATATGTTCTTAGATATGTATGTTTGATATAGTTATAAAACAAAGGTTAAAAAATAATAATAAATATTTGTTTCCAATTTTATATTATAATATAATCCATGTAAATCCTGTTTGGATTCAATGAAATTTATATATTTAGGGGATGTTATTGGTTCCTAATTTACAAAGAATCTTGATGACTTTAATAAAATCATAGAAAGTAAACAAATGAAAGATTCTAAACTATTGTTAGAGAGTTTTCAATAATCTTGTTGATTAGTTTTTCAGAGTCTTGTAAAGTTTCTCAAACAATCTCTCTATTTTGATGATACTTTTCATGACTTTATTTTGTTAACAAAAATGTAGAGAGTCATAAACTAATAACATAATAATTGAATATATTAACATAGATTCTTTTGTTTTATTAATAGGAGAGTTCTCTTTCATTCTAGGCAGTCCACATCATTGTCCACCTAGACGTCCATCTAAGCAAAATTTATGTATTAAAATATATTTAAAATATTCATTAAATGCATACTTATTTATATTTATGACTATTTAAGATTAAATAAAACTTAATTCAATACAAATAAATTAATTTTATAATTATAAAATTAAAAGTTAAGAAATATGTTATAAGTAATAAATAATTTGAATTTTAGTAAATAAAAGTTTAAGATTCTATTTATAATTTTAGAAAATTTTCTGTTTAAAAAATGATATATTAAAAATCATTGTTGGGTATTTCTAAACTTTATGAAAGTTGAAAGGTCATACATTTTTGAGAAATTGTTAGAAATACCCAAAAAATCCGAAAAAACCGCCATCTATTTTTTATTTGGTCATTTAATACCTGTATTTTTAAATTTGGAATAAAAATACCTCATTTAATTTTGATTGCCTTTTAAAACTATCGTTTTTAAAAACCGGGTAATTTCGAACCCGAGACTTAACAGTCGTTACTAGGCAATATACAAACTAGGAAGATGGCCAATATGGAGGGTAGCAGCAATCAGTGTGAAGCCGCAACCATACAGCCAGAGAATGTAATACTGGATATTGGAGAGACAAGTGGCTCATCTCCTAATGTAGAGGGTGTACTTTCACGTGATGGTATGCAATACTTCATACTCTTCGATGAGCCAATTCTTTTTGTTCTTATTTCATCCTTTGTCTCATTGTTTTTTCTCTCCAGATAATACAGCTGAAATCCTGGCTAGAAGCGGACAACTGAGTCAAGAAGATGATCGGAGATTATCTAAACATCCTTTAAGATTCTATTTATGTGAAGAAGCTAAACAAGAAGCTCGGAGAAGAGAGAAGCTGGATAGAGGAGTTCAACTGTATCAAGCTACTTTGAAAGGAGATTGGAACGCAGCTAAAACTAGAATCGATGAACAAGAAGATATTGTCCGCCAAGAAATTAACAGTAATTCGGAGATTGCTCTACACATCGCTGTTGCAGCAAAGCACGAGGAGTTTGTGAGAAATCTTATTGAAAAAATGCACCCTGATGACTTGCGCATGGAAAACAAGGACAACAACACACCCTTACATTTTGCTGCCGCATCGGGAGTAGTTAAGATTGCTGAAATGTTGATAGAAAAGGATGATAATCTTCCAAATTTGCGTGGCCCCAGAGAAATAACTCCAATCCATGCCGCGGCTTTGTTCGGTCGTGGAGAAATGGTCATGTACCTTTACGAGAGAACAAGAATCGAAGATTTAAGTGATACCAATTTGATAGATCTTTTTATTGCCATCATATCAGCTGATATCTACGGTACATATCTTACCATTTTCTCCCCTCCCTTCCCCCACCCCACCCTTAATCGCGTTTCTCTGATTTGTTTTCCGTTCATAATCACAGATGTAGCTCTGAAGATGTTGCAGGATATGGCTCACAAAGATTTAGCCATTTCTCGAAATAGAGATAGAGAGACAGCCTTGCACTTGATGGCTCGAAAGCCAACATCAATTTCTTATAGAAGCCAGCTTAACTGGTTTCAGAAATCAGCAATTTCTAGTAAGTATAAGGGAAAAAAATATACTTCAAGATAATATATACACTTAATCTGTAAATAGTTTATCTTGGGAATCAGATGATTCAAAGATTAAGTGCTATTATCCATTAAAATTACAGTTGACACTTCTTTTTCATTGTAGTTTTTAAGGGCTCCTTTCCTAAAGCAAAAATGGGAACCTTAGCTCATCAGCTGGTAGACGAATTATGGAAGTCAGTTTTGCAACACCCAATGGAAATAGTAATGGATTTATTGAGGTCACCTTCAAAGCTACTCTTTGATGCTGCGGAACTGGGAAATGTTGAGTTTTTAGTTATTCTTATTCGTTCTTACCCAGATCTAATATGGAAAGTTGATAACAAGTGTCGAAGTTTATTTCACATTGCTGCTTTATATCGCCATGAAAGCATATTCAAAATAATCTATGAACTCGGGGGCATCAAGGATCATTTAACATCTTATATAGAAGATGAATCCAAAAATAACTTGCTGCATTTTGTTGCACGTTTACCACCTCCAAATCGGCTACATGTTGTATCAGGAGCAGCACTTCAGATGCAAAGAGAGCTCCTTTGGTTCAAGGTACACTATATAGTTCCGCCTTATAATTTTATCTCTATTTCTATCACTATATGGTTAATTATAATATAATCTTTATCCATTTTTATCATTGTATATATCATTACAAACCTCTTAATCACCTCCCAGGCTGTTAAAGAGATAGTTCCTCGTTCATACATCAAAACAAAAAACAAAGATGGCCAGGTAGCGCATGATCTATTCACAAAAGAACACGAAAATTTACGCAAAGAAGGAGAGAAATGGATGAAAGAAACTGCGACAGCATGTATGCTCGTAGCAGCGCTTATAGCAACTGTGGTCTTTGCAGCAACCTTTACTCTACCGGGTGGCACTGACACTGGATTACCGGGCTTCCCTCAATTTAGAGGGGAGTTATGGTTCACCATATTTATCTTATCAGATTCGGCTGCGCTCTTCTCATCTGTGATAGCTATTGTGTTATTCTTGTCGATCTTGACTTCTCGATATGCAGAAGATGACTTCCGGACGAAGTTACCGACAAAGCTAATGTTGGGACTTTTTGCATTGTTTATCTCAATAAACACTATGGTTCTTGCCTTCACCGCGTCAATGATATTGATCCGCAGAGTCGATGAACCTGTGTGGAGATTAATCCTCATCGTTTGCCTTTCTTCTCTCGCCGCTATCACATTTGCTTTGTTGCATGTTAAGCTTTGGTTTATAACACTTCGCTCAGCATATTTTTCAAAGTTTCTCTTCCGTAAATGTAAGAGTGTTCTCTTCCTCTAAAGTTATAGAGCCCTAAAAGCTGTGAATTTTTCTTCAAAGCTTGTATTTTCTTTTGTTCTCAAATTCCATAAAAGTTCCATATTTGCGATGTTATGCAGCCAATTTCATGAACCGGTTGTTCTTCAGTTCTTGTGTCATGTTTTTTAAGAAATGTAAAATGATTACATGTTGTGAAAGTCCCTTTCGTCCGGTGGTTAACCAATGTTCATTAATACTCTTACACCAGGTCTAAGGTTCATTAATAAGAAAGAAAACAACGATTACATGTTCATACGTTTTTCCATTGGCAAGGAAAGAAACCCACGGAGAAGGAGGAAGAGACAGATCACTGGATTCGTGGTCAGAAGAGATCAATCTGAAGAAGAAAAGAGAGCCAGAGAGAATTGAGTATCTCAAAAGTTCTAAGAAGGAATCGATTCGACTTAGGAAGAAGAGATAACATTGGAGCTTTAATGGCTCGTCCTCTTTTCTAAAAAATGTAATCTTTATATAAATGGTTTTACCAAAAATAGTTTTATAATACATCGGAGCATCTGATACAACAATGATCAAGGAACCTAGCCACAAGGCTCTCAGGTTCAGGGATCAGTGAGGAAGTTACGCTGTTCCAAAAATGGAACGTTAAGGACTCGTTGAGGATCTTCTTGAACGATTCGTCTTGCTGCGACTTCTCATCTTTTATTGCAGGGTATGCAAAATAGCTGCTCCACCAAAATCAAAACAGGATCAAAGTTAAAAGCTTTGCTCAATCAAGGAACTTGTTGAACAAAAAGTCATAGAGAGAGCTTTACTTTGTTATATGTTGTGAGCTGATTGGGAAGAAAACAGAGGATGGTTGAATGTTTAGCTCCTGTTGAGTCATACGCCTGTTCTTCCCGTTCAGAAACCGTTTAGCTACTCGAGTCAAGAGATCAGCTCCGTTGCATCGCAAACACTTATCATCGTAAGTTAAGTAGTACTCATTCAAGCATTCGAGTAAGAATGGGCTGCAGAGAGTGGTTAAAAGTTAAGACATCAGACAGAAACATTGTCGGTTACTAAGATGGGAAACGATGTTTCTAATGTAGCAAAGCATTGATTTGTGTTTATGAACCTTTTCTTTTCGAATGACATAACAGCACCGTTCAGTGATTCACCGGCTGCCTGATCCTCCATGCCGATAGTATTTCTCAGTGACGATAATGAACCCAAAACTATCACATCAGAATCGAGATAAACCCCGCCATATCTGCATCAATATGCAATCACTAAGCAATCATGCTTCATTTCTCAAGTAACAAAATTGATCAATCATTTAATAAGAGATTAGAAAGTGATCAAGATTAACTTATAAAGGGCGGCAAGCCGAACAAGTTCACTGTAGTGAGTAGGATAAAACTTAGTTTTTCTCCAATCGAACCACACAGAAGCAAATACGTGAGTAGGAGTATCCTGCAGCAACTCATCAAGGTTGGGCATTGTCACAGCAACTTTATAACTGCAACATAGAGAAACGAATCAATCAAACTATTACTAAATGGAGGAGTAAAGAGACAACATTCTGTGTTACTCACTAACCCGTCTTTCACAAAGCTGTTCCGGAAGAAATCAAGCTCAACGGTCTCTGAGAAAACTACAACACAAGCATCTCGATGCTGAGAAAGTAAGCTCTCAAGCCCTCTTTGATGCCTAACACTAAACATCCAACCAGGTGAATTCCACACCATAAACACTCTCATAGAACATTCCCCCTTCCTAAAAAACGAATCAATAAAATCTGAAAACGACAAACTCGGTTCTATACCGGGATAATATCCCCATTTCGTACCATCTGCATACATATGTTCTGTAACCTCATCAAGCTTCCCCTCAAATTTTGTATTCGTCTGTTCCTTTCTCTCAATTTTCTTATCATCGTCTAATGTCTTACGTTCACCTCTCTTGATTTCACCATGTCTACCATCGTCCTTATTCTGCAACCTAATCCTTTCTCTACTCTCTCTAACTTCATTTGGTTCCTTCTTCTCTGAAACAACACTCAACGGCTTCTTCGCCATAAAAGGGTTTCTCTTAATCTGATTCAACCTCCATTTCTGCACAACCTTATCACCTCTAGTCAATCCAGTAATCCCAACACCATCAGGATCCTGCAACATTGGATTATTCAACGGATTCAACGTCTCGATATTCGACTTAAACATCCTATCTCTCCTCAAGAAATCACCTTTCTTATCAAACCAATCTCCCCAACCTTCCCTCAATGGCGATACCTTCTTCCCTGATTTCAACAACAACGCATCTTCTACACTCGTAACCTCAACAATCTTCCTACGAATCGATTCATCTAATGGAACATCATCAGATCCAAACGCAGCTCTACTCTTATCTCCTAAATTATCCGAATCAATACTAAAACCTGTGTAATCATAATCCCATTCATCTATAGATCGTTTATTAAAAGCTCTTCTGATAACTCCATTAACATGATCGAAGTAAAACCCAGAAGAAGAAGACGAAGACGAAGAAGCACCACCCTTGTTCCGATTAAGATCCACTTCTTGCTCTTGCTCGGCGTCCTGATTCTCATCTTCCTCATTAGAACCGCCGTCGTCTTCGATCGCATCGTCGTGCTCGTCGATTCTGTCTTCGGTTGAGGTAGTGGATCCTCTTCCTCCTCCGCCGGTGGTTTCAACGTCGGAATCTGAGACGAGGAGAGAATCCGGGAACAAAACAGCGTCTTCGCTGGAGCCGGAGCGGAGGTGAATCGGCGAGTGAGATGAGAAGAGTGAGAGACGAGTGTAGAGAAGAGAGACGGAAGCGAGAAGAAGAACGGCAGACATAACGGCGCAAGCTTGTGCGCCGTGACGGGAACGTGAACGCCGTGATCTCAACATCGCCAAAAAATCTCCTCCGTCGGAATCTAACGGCGATCCGATCTGATTATTTGAATTCGTGAGTGTAAAGTTTCATTCTTTGAATTCTGCAAGGCTTAAATCTTGAAGTTATTACAGAAGTTTTTATATGTAATAAAAAAAAAAGGCACCCAAAAAAAAGAAAAACACAAGTACAGTAATGGAACCGTGTCCTGATCAAGTCTCGGGTCCAGAGGGCATCTTGGTTTCATCGTCTTCACGTAAGCTCTCATGTTTGGCCTCTGTGGGTTTGAAGAATTCCACTTTTCCTTGAGTAGAAGAAACAATGTCCCAAAGAATCCACAACAAGCAATGACCGGGCAACCATACATCAAGAATTTCAAAGGATATAACATAAATACATACAAAAACCCCACAATGAGGCAACCAGTGATTTTCTCACCACAACTAAACTGTCCTGATGAAGATTTTTCTTTGCTAAGAAGGTTGTTTGGTTCCACATATACCAATCTAAACCCACACTTCACCACTTCATGTGTACCATCAGTCACATTGAATTTAAGTGTCGCTTCTGCGGGTATACACTTACCCGAGTACTTGCTCTCTACACGTTTTGTGATTTTTGAGAAACTGGCGTAGCCGATAAATACATGGTCTGAGTTAGTTTTTCCCGGTTCGGTCCAACTTCCTACTTTGAAATTAGAGCTGATGCAAGAACCGTTGTCGTCTTTGAACTCCGAGGCACATTTCACTGAGAAACAGTCGATCAACTGTTTGTTATCCTGAAATGAGACAACAGCACACAGTGCTATACCAGAAACCAGATTGTCACACCAATTTGGTTGCAGCCTTTTCTCTAACACTGATCCGACAGCTTGGTGCTGGAACCATAAGGGAACTTCACATCCAGGAAAGCATGTCTTGAAGGATGCTCTCGAAACAAAACCCTGAAGCCGGAATGTAAAATCAAATCGTAAGCTCTAGCAAATTCTGAAATAGAAGGAAACTTTAAAAGTGAAAGAGAGTGAGAGAATACCATATCGTAACACTTACATGCGTGTAGCTGGCATTTCCGTTCTGCATAGGATGTGATAGTGTTCCTTGCATCTTCTTCCAGATTTGTGCAGTTAGTGAAAATGAATGTAGAACAAGTCTGCTCGGTGATCAAAGCAATGGCCAGCGGATCCATAACATGTTCCAGTTTGTGACATCCATGTGCGTCTAAGTATTCAAGGTTTGGAGGAAGTGTGGGAAGCTCTATGAGATTCTCACAGTACTTCAAGTCAAGCCACTTCAGATGATTAAGTTGTTTGATGTTAGCTGGCAGGTTGATCATGCTATTTCCACTCAAGCATAAACGCTGGAGTGATTCTTTGAAGTGCAATATCATTTGAATCTCTTTTAGCGCTGTGCCATCATACAGTAAGATCCGCAAATGTTTCATGTTTCCTGTGTCCGTTGGAAAACTCTTGAGCTTTGAGCAACCAGAGAGTATTAGGTCTTCAAGAGCTTTTAGCTTTCTAAGAGAACTAGGAAGATGCTCCAGCGCTTTACAGCTTCTCAAATTCAACAAAACAAGTCTCTGAAGATTCCCAATGGCTGGAGGAAGTGTCTCCAGTGCAGTGCCATCTAAATACAAAGTTTCTAAATTTTCTGAAATCACTTGAAATTCCTGAAACCTTGAGCAGTCGCTGAGTATGAGAACTTTCAGAGAGCTCAGATTCGCCTTTGGAATATTTCGAAGAGACGTGCATCCTCTCATGTTCAAGAAGACAAGACTCTTCATATTTCCCATCTTCTCCGGCAACCTTCAAGATTCAATCTTTCGAGATTTTGAGCATTTGATAAACCTGACAGGTCACTCAAGTTGAGCGAGTGATTGAGATCAACCCACTTTAGGTTTGGCGTATCCTGTGACGAAAGAGGATTCAATAATAAAAATTAGTTTACTACATATAATTGGCTAAAACAGTAACGATTAAAGACAAGAGAGACATACACCTTAACACCCTCCCATACTTGTTTGATGGAGCTGTAAGGCAGGCTGAGATTGACAAGATTCTTCGCATTGAAGTCTAAGGGAAGTTTATCCAATGAGAATCTCAGCCAGTCAAGACATCGCACCTCAGCTAATGTGAACTGAAGTCCCTCAGCAACAACGATTATTTGGTCAGCTTTGCACTCCATAGGACAAATCGAACTGTAGATTTTAAGATATCGAAGACTGCGCATACTAGTGAAGCTCATTTTCTCCTTTACTTCAGACATGTCTAGGTACACACCTCTCACGTTCTCCATTTCCTTTAACCAATTTAAGACAAGCAATTAGTAAAAAGAATCGGAGGTTTGTTTCAATATTAGTGAACTCTTGTAATCAATGTCTCTTACCGATTTGTACTTCAACATGCGAACAATTTTCTTATGGTTCCACAGCCTACACTGAACTCTTGAAGCAAGTTCCTTACCGAATGTATACAGAACATCATGCATCTCTACTCGCCCACCAGAAATACTAATGAGAAACCTATCAGTGAGATCGCCTATTACACCCGAATCACATGAATCCAACATACATCTTACATAACTTGTAGTCTTTGATCTGAAAAAACAAGCAATGTCAAGAAATGCATCTTTCTGCTTCTCACTGAGTTCTAAGTATCTCTTACTCAAGGCATCTTGAATTTTCGGACTGGAACTTTGTGTTAGTGTTCCCACTCTCTTTTCCCAGTCCTCCTCTTCCTTGCCAAGAAGCTCCACACCCAATTCCTTGAGAAATAATGGGTTGCCTTTGGCATAATCAAGAATCTTTCTGGACAACCTTAAGTAATTTTCTTCTGGAGGAGGATTGTTAGGGCCGAAGGCATGATAAGTGAAGCACTTTAAACCGTCTTCGTCATTTAATATTGGGACGACAAATGTATAGTTGACTAAATTCTGGACCAGTGACTTGTCGCTTGTTGTGATAACAATCTTGCTTCCCTCCTTAATCCAATCCAAGTTACCAAGAAGATATTCAATCTGCTCTTTTCCGTTAACGTCATCAAGAACAACAAAAAACTTCCTTTTGAGTAACTCATCCTTCCAAATCTGATGTAGGGGATGAGTATCTTTCAAGAGCTCTCGCAAGAGTCTCATCTGCAACCAGTTCGGTCCGTGCTCATTTAACATCTTGCTTACGTCTGCTAAACACATGCTGTATGCAAACTGTTTTTCCCACCTGTTGTAAAATGATTTAGCAAGAGCGGTTTTGCCAATCCCAGGCATCCCAACAACTCCAACAATACAAGTTTTTCCATTCCATGCATCTAACTTCTCTTCTAATTTCTCGAGGCATTGTTTCATTCCATATAGAGGTTCATCAAGCTCTTCTTTTCCAGTGTTTCCTCCAGTCGAGATGGTATCAATTAGCAAATCCTTCACAAACTCAATGATTGAGTCGATGAATACTCCCTCGTCCCTGGCACACATAGAGTGATGAGAATGGAGCTTGTTTGTAATTTAAGAGAATAAGATACATGCCCTTATACAGTGGTTCCTTGATTACTACAAAGTTTCATGAACTAATGCACAACAATGTAAAGCTAAGCCATGTTTGTTTGGAAGAATATGAGTCAGAGACAAGAGTTTAACTCTTGAGTAAAATTTCTGCCTACACATAAAGCAAAGATATTGCATCCAGCATTTGATCACGAGGGTGTGTGTGTGTGCAAAACATTTATAGAGAAAAAGAGATGGTTACCCGTCTTTTTTTAACGTCATTCCCATGTTGCCACAAATAGACATCAAAGCTTTCTCCCAGTCTATAACTTTCTGGTGCTCACTTTTATAAGCCCGAATCTTGAAGTTATCACCAAAGTCTCCCTTAAGCTCCTTCACATCGGATGTCTCCAGCTTATAGAAGATGGGAACGGCAACGAGTTGGCCTTCGTTCACTCACTCATTGATCTTGACCAGCTCATCTAAGCACCATTTGGATTCAGAGTACCTCTTAGAGAATATAGCTAGTGCAATCCTTGACTCCTCGATCTTCTTGAACAATTTTGTAATAGGTGTGCCTTTGTTCAGGTGTTCATCCATAAAAACGTTGACCCCATTTTCTTTCCAGGCTTTCGTCAGACGTCTCACGAAGCTCGTACGCAGCTCATCTCCTCGGAAGTTGATGAACACTTGATCCTGTGGCAAGAGTCCGATGCTGAGAATGGAGGAGGAAGCCATAGGAGGTATCTTTCTTTCAATTTTCTGTTAAGGAATTCTGTAAACGAATCTCTAGTGGATTTAAATCAACATCTGTATAATCAACCTACAGGACCATAATGCTAATTATAGTTCAAGGACCGACCCAAGAATCAAATCACTACACAACTAGGCATGTCTACGTTTCTTAATTTCTTAGTCAAAACACATATAACCAATAAACCAATGTGAAGTCTACAACCACAATTTCGATTCTCCAAGAGAAAATTGTAACTCAAAGACAAGCTGAGTGGTCCTGATTAACGAAATGAGTGTTACCTGAAGTATACATTCCGGGGGCTTCCTCTTGAGGTTCGAAATCCTTTATCATACTTCAAAAGTCTTCTGCAAATTCAAGAAAGGAAGGTTCTTTGTTAATCACACTGATACTAAGTGAGCCACTATAAACAACGAAGAACTTCAATTCAAATGAAAGCATAAAAGAAGTAACAACGAAAGCACGAATTATCTCTAGTGAAACTTCTTACTCGTGAAAATCTCCTCCACAAGATTGAGAAATCCTAAATCCCCTTTTTTCCACATTGGCACCAAAAATTCCAAATTGATAGAATCCAACGAAGACCAATTTGATATACATGTAGCCTTCAGAGGTTAAATCCTCTCTGAAGACCAATTGCTTGCGACGGCCATTTTGAGAGTAAGAGGCATCAAATGGCTCACACAGCTCGTTTCCCCGAACATGGATTGTTTTAGGGTGTGATTTATGTCTTTCTAAAATGTAGCGGAGAACTACCAACACAAAACGCCAAATCCATTTCTTTAAGCAATCTTGATCACACAATAATGCACCATCTAATCAATAAAACAGGTACATGAAAATCAAATCTCATAGAACCAGATTTTTGAATCTATCAGTGTATCACTTCTGAAACAAAACTAATAGACTATATATATCACATTCCATCAAACGAGGAGTAACAAATTAGCTAAGGAATTACTCAAAGTTTCAATTTTTTTGGTTTGCAATGAGCAAAAGATAGCAAATTTCTCAGAAACGAGCTCAATCAACATTACAAGACGCAAAAACTTCCTGTCAAAACTTTAACCATCAGAAGCTTAAATTTCTATGAATTATCTGATATTTCAAGATTAAAAAAAAAAAAAGAAAAAGAATAAAACTCAAAACCTGGGGACATTTTCATCAAATTTCCTCTAATTTCGGATTTTTTCCATCTTCAGAGGTGAAGAAGAAGATAATTAGAACCAAAACTAAGAAAAAAACAATCCGGTTATCGACAAAAGGAATCTGGTTAACGAAAATTGAATCAGGTTAAGTAAACGATAACCGGAGGAAGAGGCGAGAGTCTAAAAAGGCAAACGTAACCGCGAGTAAACGACGACGACGACGCTTTGCCCTAAAATCAAAATTCTGCAATATATATAGAACCTCAAAATCTCTCCCTGTTACCGAGATTTGATTCACCGAAAGAGATTGAATTCTACGAGATTGAGGTAAAAACTCTTAGCTCTGTTTCGTGTTCTAGATTCTTCTTGAAAGGAAGCTAGAACATTATAGTCAAACCCTTTGTTTCCAATCCTAATTTAGAATTAGCTTGATTACTCTTTTAGATGAGACTATATATCAGTGAATCTGTTTTATATGTTTTTTTCTTTCAAAACTTCCTCGATCATCATGTAATGTTTTGATCACAACTTTGTTTTGTTATTTACATAAATTTTGTAAGTTGCTGTAGATGTTCTACTTTGCTACCCTATGAGTTTGTAAAATTAATCTCATTACCTGAGACAATCTGTTTAAATTTTTGCATACATGTTGAATTTTTGAATATTGCAAAGTCTGTTTTAAGATTTGTTTGTTTTGTCATTTTTTGGATCTTTGATTCTAAATTATGGTTTTTTGATATGCAGAATGGATTTTAGGTTTCAACAAACGATTGCAATTCGTCAAGCTACGAGCGGAAAAGAGTCGTCGTCAGCTGTTAGCATGCCATATCTCCCGGATGATATACTGCTGAACTGTTTAGCCCGCGTCTCGAGATTGTACTACCCAACTCTCTCCTTAGTTTCCAAGAGATTCTGCTCTATCCTCGCTTCGACGGAGCTTTACGAGATCCGGAGGCTATTAGGAAGCACAGAGAGTTGTCCCTATCTCTGCTTAACGTCCCCTGGTAGCTCTAAGCCACGTTGGTTTACTCTGAGCCGTGGACCAGCTCCAATCCCCAACGCTTACTCAAGATGGTTCACTTCCTGTTTTAGTCCCTGCAGTAAGAGTCGCACAACAAGGAATATTATGGTGTCGGTACCCGGTCACAGTTTTCCGCCTCAGTCTCGTTGGCTTCCTACAGTAGTCGGTTTCAGCATCTACATGATTGGAGGACGCATCAAAGGTGAGCCTTCGTCTAGGGTATTCGTGATGGACTGTCGGTCTCACACATGGCACGAAGCTCCAAGCATGCGGTTGGCTCGGAAGCGCCCCCTCGTGAGTGCTGCTGGTGGGAAGATATATGTAGTGGAAGGCTGCTATTGTGATTCCGCAGAATTTATGGAGTTTTTCGATCCCAAAACCCAGATGTGGGAGCATGTGCCAAGCCCTGGAGCAGAGATACGCGGGTCATATATGCTGGAAAGCCTCGCCAAGGAAGGAAATCTTTACTTAGGTGGGGACAAGAGTGTTGTTTACAAGCCCAAGGAAGATGAATGGGATTTGCTAGGACCGGGAATGCATTTTGGTGGGATTTCAGATTCTTCTTGCATGATAGATAACGTAAGATATTGTTACACTGTCGGATCCGGATCCGCATCGTCTCGAAGGCTTAAATGGTACTCTAAGGAAAGATCATCCTGGATAGCTCTCAAGGATTTGGAGAAACTGCCTAAATTACCAAAGGGTAATGATCGTGTTAGATTGGAGAATTGTGGTGGAAATATTTTGGTTTTTTGGGAGGAGAATGTCCCTTCTATTGGTTCTACCAAGAAGAAGAAGATTTGGTGTGCTGAGATTGCGATTGAAAGACGCAACAAAGAGGAGGTATATGGGAAAGTTGAGTGGTGTGATGTGGTGCTTACAGTCCCCAAGTCATGTTCTTTCGAGCAATTCGTTGTTGCCACTGTTTGAGCCAAAGGATCTCTTTATTTGGTCCTCAGATTGGAACTAGAGTTTTCGGACTTCATAGATTCGTTGTCCAGGAATGAGAAATGTTCTTTGAGTGTTTATGGTGTGGAATTCACCTGGTTGGATAGTCTACTTTCTCAGCATCGAGATGCTTGTGTAGTTTAGTATTCTCAGAGACAATCGAGCTTTGTTAAAGACGGGTTAGTCAATGACAAGAACGCTTTCGCCTCTATACTCCTCCACTTAGTAATAGTTTACATGATTCATTTCTCCGTTTTCTTCTGCCGTTAGAAAATTATGGTCATCATTAACTTATGATGATTATTTTTACTTGAATGCTTGAACGAGTACACATTAACTTATGATGATAAGTGTTTGCGATGCAACAGAGCTGATCTCTTGACTCGTGTAGCTAAACTTACTCGACGTGCATGACTCTATCCTTAAATCGGTCTCTAGTTCCTATATTTGTCATATCATTGTCGTCTGATCAAGAACGAAGAAGAATATCATCAATCTATTGGGCCTAGTATTGTTAATTCCAACAAATCACATTTTTCAGTTCTCAATGATTATTTTAATAAAATTATTATTTTTATGATGTTCGAAAATTTGAATATTTTAAAGCCAGTTTATTTGTTTACTTTTACTTATAGACGAACTATGGAAAAAAGATAGGGTAAATTGCATGGTAGGGCATAAGACCATCTTTTAATTTCATGTTTTGGCAAAGTGAGAATTGGTTTTTAAGTTTTGATAATTTAGCCAAAATCTGACCATTTTACCCCTGCCAGCGTAACGATGTACTGTTCACTGTACGGTTCAGTGATGCGGTTCAGTTACGTACAGTGTACGGTTCAGTTATGCGGTTCAGTTACGTACACTGTACGGTTCACTGTACGGTTCAGTTATACGGTTCCATTGTACGTACACTACAGAATGTGTACAAGATACATGCTGCGAAAGTAACACGGATATCAATATTAATGGTATAGACTAAGTCACTAGGGATGATGTTATCGACCGTGGTATTGGAGCTTCCGCAAGTGGGACACTAAATGATAATTGGCTAGTTACCGTACCTGGCGGAGATAACATTTCTCATTCGGGTGACCGTACACCAACCGTGACTCCAACACGTACGTGTCAACATGGTTTGTACCAATGTACGTATACTACAGAATGTGTACAAGATACAGACTGCGAAGGTAACACGGATACCAATATTAATGGTATAGACGAAGTCACTGGGGATGATGTTATTGGACCTTCCGCAAGTGGGACACTGAATGATAATCGGCTAGTTACCGCAGCTGAGGCTTACGAAGTGTATAATGGCTTTTCTTCATTACATAGTGGCGAGTTGGAGATTCTCGATAATGATGCTGCTCCGGTATTCGATGATTTAGCCAAACTTACTTTCGGAGTTTCGGTCAGTGCAATATTGTTGTCGCACTCGTCTTCTGGCGTTTAACCGACAGAGCTAATCCGAAGATTATGAGTAATGGTCCTGTCTCGAAGATGTTTGCTGATCCGGACACACCGGAATACCCTGGTAGTCCATGCCGTAAACGATGAGTGTTCGCCCTTGGTCTACGCAGATCAGGGGCTCAGCTAACGCGTGAAACACTCCGCCTGGGGAAATTTCCTGAAAAGCTAATCATAGGTTCTTCTCTCCATCGGAAGTGGAATAGATCAAGATGGTCGTTTTTTAGTTAGACGGATTTTTTATTCCCTGTCTTATTATTATTTAATACTACAATTACATTAAGTATTGTTTATTAAACTACATAAAGTTGTTGTTATTTTCAAATTACTTCACTATGATTAATAAACTATTGGAAACATGTACGTACATTTTTACGTATACTTCTATTATCTTGCCTCTGTACGTGTTACTAGTATTTGCTAGGTGTATGTACAGTTATACGCCATTATTAAAATATATTGGATGTGTACGTTTTACTAGTTTGATAGGCCATGTACGTAATATTTGTCATACGCTATGTACGTATTTCGTGTACGTACACCAGAGACAAAGTGTTTAATACTTGTGAAATATACTAAGTTCTCGTACTAGTTGAATCGGCTATGTACAAAACCAGTGTACGTACACAAAACCATACGTATTTCAAACTCGTTGTCTCCGTACACAAAAAGTTTTTTTATTCATAATATGACTGCCCGAAAAAGGGAATACAATGCATAAAGACAAACAGAGTAGAGTAGATTGCGAGGAAATAAACTAAAGAGTAGAGCCGAAGCATACACATGAGGCGCAAAATATTATCCTTCATCCGTGATAGCAATGTCAAATCTAGTAAAAGATACACATCTCCCTCGCGTACCAATAGAACAAACACCCTCTACAGCATTGACCGTACGTGCAGTTGCCAACACAAGCCGGGGTGTGGACAAACCGCCACCCACGTTGCCAGAGACGAGGTCCTTCGGTGTGAAGCTGGGATATGTGAATTCATGGCGGCGAGGGAAAGTCGACGGTCACAGGGAGAGAGAAGAACCGTTTGGTTTAAGAAGAAAGAAGGACGAGAAGAGAATGTGATTCCGAATGTGAATCCGTCGGATCTTTGGATTCTGGTGTCGGAGCATGGGGAATAGATATTGTTGGTTTTACTTCCTCCGCCGTCTCCGCCTATGGCTACGGTTTTGTGGAAACTGGTGATGGTTAGTGTCACGACGGAGAAGACGAGGAGTGTTAGGGTTTTCGAAAGGAACATTTTTTTTTTGAAATTATTATGGAAATGGTTTGGGGAAGGCAGAGAGAGTGTGAAGCTAAGCTGCATGGAATCGGAAGCGTGTACGCGGAAGCGAGTTTTTAAAAATATTTAGGAATCAGGTACGTGTTGGAAGCATATATATATATCATAAAATACCAAACATAAAATCATTTAGAATAAATTAGACGTTATAGCAAAGAAGAAATTCTTTGAGTTTTTATAAACTTAGCCTTATATAAGGTTATGTTTGACAAAAAAAAAAAAACAAGCGTTATATAAAGTTATAATTATAATATAACATTGATGTCATAAGTAGTGCAGTCGCAACAGAGGTTTTTATTTAGTCTCAGGTGGATTGGTCGAGCCTAGCCCAACGCAATAGTTTTTTTTTTACTTAAAACAAATAAGGGTAAACTTGTAATTTTATCGACGAGTCATCTTCCTCCCCTTAAAACCCTAATCGCCGCCTGTACTCTTGCACTTTTTCTGGGTTTTTTTTTAACATTCCTAACGCCGGCAACGCTTCCAACTACACCCCCATCGCTTCCCTTTCGGAATCTTACGCTTCCAGCACGATTCCAAAATATCCATTTTGGGAATCGCGATTCCAAGCCGATTTCGAGCGATTCCGCTTCTGTTTCCGATTCCGGAGCGGGAATCGACACAACTCCGGCGATTCCGTGCTACGTAGGTGTGAAGCTAAACTGCATGGAATCGAAAGCGGGTACGCGGAAGCCGAAGCGTTTGGAAGCGCCGAAGCGAAATTTTTTAAAAAATTAAGAAGCGGATACGTGTTGAAAGTGTGTGATATATATATATACCAAACATAAAATCATATTAGAAAATATTAGATTACAATCATGATAGAAAATAATATTAGAATAAATTAGTTGAAAATTAAATTTTAAAACCTTAAAATTAGACATAAATAGCAAAGAAGAAATTCTATGGGGTTTTATAAAATTAGGCTTATATAACGTTACAATCGAAAGTTATACCAAGTTTTGTTGTAGTGTAGTGGCATTGACAGTTTTAATATTCTCTCTGGTCAAGTGTTCGAGCCTTGGCATCTTCCAAAATTATTATTTTTACTTAAATGAATAAAGAGTAAATGTGTAATTTCCTTGAGGAGTCATCTTCTTCCTCTAGAAGCCCTAATCACCGTCTCTTCCTTCTGTATTTTTTTCCTTTTTTTTTTTGAATATTGGTAAGGCAAGCAACGCTTCCAATCTATCCCCGATGCTTCCCACTCAGAATCTTACGATTCCACCACGATTCCAAAAAACTCATTTAGGGAATCGCGATTCCAAGCCGATTCTGAACGATTCCGAGCGATTCCGCTCCCGTTTCCGATTCCGGAGCGGGAATCGACACTTCTCCGGCGATTTCGTGCAACGTAGGTGTGAAGTGAGTTTGTGGTTTCACGTTTTGGCTCATCAGACTTTTTTCAAAGGGTTAATAGCAAGCAAACCGCAAAACCAATCAAAAGTAACTAAACCGCAAAGAAACTGTTCCGTTTGGTTTAACTCGTTAGGGGTATTTTCATCCTAAAATGCCTTAAGTGTCAATTCATGAAAAAGAAATCTCACTTTGCCAAACGATGAAACTAAATCTTTTTTTAACACAAACGTGAAAATTTCTTAAAAAAAATAGGAATATTACAGCGAAGAATAATGTAAAGTGAAAACCCTAAAACGATGACGAATCAAAAATCTCGTGCAAATCTCCCAATTTTTTTTTTTTTTTTGGGGTTAATGGTTTGGTTTTACCTTTTTTTTTTCGTTTCGTCTAGGAAGAATAACGGAAGTCAAAAGCAAAAAGGAAAAAACAAAAAAAAATGTAAATAACGCAATTTCCTTTTACAAATAGGGTTAGCTATATTATACTCCCTCTGTTTTTTAAAAGTTGTCGTTTTAACTGTATTTGGACAAATTAAGAAAATGTATACAATGACTATATTAACCTCATAAAAATGACAAGTAATTATTTACAAATAATTTGTGTTCAATAAAATGAGGGTAATTTGGGTAGTTATTGGCATAAATTACATTATTACCTTAAAACGACAACTAATTTAAAACAAAAAAAAAGCTCTAAAACGACAACTATTCAAAAACGGAGGGAGTATATACGTATGTTGTGTCCAAGAACGATGATCAGCTCTGCTTCTTAACTTCTAAAAACTTTTGATTCAAGGTAAAGAAGGCCTCAGCTTCTTAAATTCTCAAAACCTATTGAAGTAATTAAGCCTCTGTGTCTTAAACCTTTTTCTTATAATTTCAGTTGCCACAAAGCTTGCTTGCAATCCAAGGAAGATATGAGGCATCAACGTGGAGATATAAGTCTCGTTATTGATCAGACAAAACTTCCTCTTCAAGATCGTCCTAAACATCCAAATCTAGTTGATGGTATGCAACACTTTACATACTCTTGAAAATTGTTTTGTTTCTTTCTTTACTTTTCTTTTCTACAGTTTTGTGTGTTTTTTGATATTTTTGGCGGAGGTTACTTATAGTCATCACATCAATTTTTTTTTTCCAGATGGTAGAAGAAACGGGTACTTGGATTTGTGTGTTCCACTATGCCAAGCTGCTATGAAAGGTGACTGGGAATCAGCCCTAACTATAATCAATCGACGGCCCGAGATTATCCGCGAAGCAATCACCTTTCAGTGGGAGACTCCTCTTCACATCGCTGTTGCATCAAAACACAAACACTTTGTCAAAAACTTGCTTGAATTTATGGCTGAAGTTGATCTATATCTACAAGACAAGGACGGCAATACCGCTTTTTCTTTTGCTGCAGCTTCGGGAGTTGTTGAGATTGCTCGACTCTTGGAAGATAAGACCAAGCCAGTTTCATTGGCTCGAGGGGCTGAAGATCTGACTCCAATCCACATAGCAGCACTGTTCACTCGGCGGGACATGGTAGTCTACCTTAACGAGAATACAGACTTCATAGATGATCTAATCGATGCAGGGCAGCTAACTAATTTTTTTCTTGCCACCATATCAGCCGATATCTTTGGTACATTATCTCTAACCCCTTACACTAGCTTTTTTCTTTTCTTATCTCTTTGTCAAATTTTAGTTTTGAACTCACACTTGCAATTTTCTTTTTCGTTTCCACAGATGTAGCTTTGAAACTATTGAAAGCGAATAATCTGCTCGAAATTCTAAAGGAGAGACAGCATTGCACTTGATGGCTCGCAAACCCTCTTCAATTTCACTTGAAAAACAGTTGAACCAATTCCAAAGACTAGCAAATTCCAGTAAGTACAACTTATGCAAATCGCCCTTTTATTTTTCTTTTATGCCTTAACACTGCCGTTAACGTTAGCTCTTCTTTCCCATGTAGTTTTCAAAGGTTAATCTTGGCTCATCAGCTCGTAGAAGAGATATGGAAATCAATTGCACAACGACCAGGAGAAGAGATTTGGGATTTCATCAATTCACCTCGAAATCTACTCTTTGATGCCGTACAATCAGGAAATATCGAGTTTTTAAATATTCTATCTACTTCGTTCTTGTCCTGACCTCCTATGGAAAGTTGATGAGAAGAATCAAAGTATATTTCATGTGGCTGCTTTACATCGTCATGCAAGCATTTTCAACATAATCTACGAGCTCGGAGCTAGGAAGGATTTGGTAGCTTTTTATAAAGAACCATTGAAAAACGAAAACATTCTGCACCTTGTGGCTCGTTTACCATCTCCGGATCGGTTACAAATGGTACCGGGAGCAGCACTTCAGATGCAAAGAGAACTACTATGGTTCGAGGTACGCTAAACACGATTTCATAATTGTTGTATTATTTCTTCTCTGGTTTTATATATCGGTGTCTATATCCTTTACAATTAACCTTCTTCTAATCATATTACAGGCTGTTAAAGAGATTGTTCCTCATACATACATCAAAGCTGAAAACGTAAAGGGGGAGACACCGCATGCTGTATTTATTAAAGAACATGAAAATTTACGCAAAGAGGGAGAGAAATGGATGAAACAAACCGCAACAGCATGTATACTCGTAGCAGCGCTGATTGCTACCGTGCTTTTTACAGCAGCCTTCACCGTACCAGGTGGAATCAAAGAATCAACGGGTCTTCCTAACTTTGCTGAGAATGAGTGGTTTGATACCTTCACCAAGTGGGACATCATTGGTCTCTTTACATCTGTCGACTCTGTTGTGATCTTCTTGTCGATCTTGACTTCTCGGTACGCGGAAGATGATTTTCGGAAGGCCTTACCGGCGAAGCTGGTGTTGGGACTTACAACATTGTTTGAATCGATAATCGCCATGGTTGTTTGCTTCACCGCGACAATGATCTTGATCCGTGATCACACGTCTACTGGGAGGCTGATCCTCATCTGTTTCCTTGCTGCTCTTTCGATTCTCTTTTTTGTTGGATTGCATTTTCGGATCTGGTTGGACACTGTTATCTCAATCTGTAAGTCGAGTTTTCTCTTCCATCGACGTACCGGTCGCATCTACCCATGAAACTCGTAGTTTGTTGAAATAGGGTTTTTGATTGTTTTCTTTCCTTAATGCTAGAAGAGATTTTTTATTTTATTTTATTTTGAATGTTGAAAGTTGAAAGTTGCAAGAGAGATTCTATTTTGAATTAAAAATAAAATCTTATTACAAAGTTTGTTTGAAAACCAAGTACAAAAGTGAAACAGAATACAAGCTGAAAAAAACAGAGCTAAACCATTGGTTTGATCCATGTTCACGTGAATGTGTCTTCATCCATAATTTCTCTTACTGATTTGTACTTCAATAGTTCTCCTAATGGTTGTTCTACAGCCTGCACTGAGCTCCTGAAGAAGGTTCCTTACCGAATGTCTACAAAACTGAACTTTGCATCTCTACTCTGACCGCCAGAAATACTAATGAGGAACCTCTCTCTCTCTATTACACCCGAATCCAACATACATCTTACACAACTTGCAGACTCTGATCCGAAAAAAACAAGAAATGTAACTTTTCTGCTTCTCACCGAGTTCTTTCGGAACGGAAACTTTGTGTACTCCCTTTTTCCAGTCATCCTCCTCGCCATGAAGCTCCACTAGCAATTCTTATAGAGGGCTTAATCTAGAATCTTTCTGGACAACCTCAGGTAACTTTCCTCGGGAGTAGGATTGTTAGGGCCGACAGCATGATAAGTGAAGTACTTTAAACAGTCCTTGCCACTTATTGTGAATAACAATCTTGCTAGCTTCCCTCCTTAATCCTAACTTTGTTACCAAGAAGAGATTCAATCTGTTCGTTTCCATTAACTCCAATCCGGCCCATGCTCCTTTAACCTCTTGATTACTTCTCTAATCACGTGCTCTGTTCCAACCAGTTGTTTGGCAGAATATGTGTCAGAAACAAGAGTTATGCACAACAATGTAAAACTAAGTCATGTTTGTTTGGCAGAATATGAGTCAGAAACAAGAGTCTAACGCTGAGCTAAGTTTTATACCTAAACATAAAAGCAAAGTGGTGGACTTAGTTTTGTGTATGTCAAAAAAAAAACATTTATAGAGAGAGAAAGAGATGGTTACCTCTCTTCTTTGAACGCCTCTCCTATCTTACCAGAAATAGACATCAAATCTTTCCCCCAGTCTTTTACTTTGTGCTGCTCACTTTTTATAAACCAGAATCTTGAAATTATCACCAAACTCATGTTTAAGATCTTGAACAATTCGTCTTGCTGCGATTTCTCATCTTCTGTTGCAGGATATGCAAAATGGCTACTCCACAAAAATCAAAGATTTCTTAAAGTCAGAAGCTTTAACAAACAAAGATGGCTAAGGGTCTTGACCAAAGTCAGTACTCAGTAGAGAGGTTTTACTTTGTTATCTGTTGTGGGCTGATTGGAAAGAAAACAGAGGACAGTCGAACGTTAAGCTCCTGTTGAGCCATACGCCTATTCTTCCCTGTTTAAAAACCGTTTAGCTACTCGAGTCAAGAGATCAGCTCCGTTGCATCGCAAACACTTTGGAAACTAAGGAGAGAGTTGGGTAGTACAATCTCGAGACGCGGGCTAAACAATTCAGCAGTATATCATCCGGGAGATATGGCATGCTAACCGCTGACGACGACTCTTTTCCGCTCGTAGCTTGACGAATTGCAATCGTTTGTTGAAACCTAAAATCCATTCTGCATATCAAAAAACACAAGATAGCATCATTTAGAATCAAAGATCCAAAAAAAAAAAGACAAACAAATCTTAAAGCAGACTTTGGAATATTCAAAAATTCATAACATCTGCAAAATTTAAACAGATTGTCTGCAAAATTCTCGAACGTCTTTATCACGCTTGAAAAACAAAAGCTTTCCTCGAATTCAAAATGAAAACTTTTAATCCTAGGAATATCACTGAGAAATGAATGATTCATAATTTCAACACAACAAACCCTAAACTGGTATGAAAGACAAATTATACCACACAAAAACCAAGCTAATTACTACACGAATAACTAAAACAAGAAACGACAAAAGAGATTGAACCAATCCAAATTCGACAAAGGCACGATTAACATAAACCCAAGTGTGTGGGTGATTAGAATCAGAGAACTAACCAAAGAAAAGCGTCCGTGATCAACAAAAACCAAAAAAAGAGACGTTTGAGAAAACCAGAGGAAGAAGAAGAATAATAAGCAAGAGAAGCGTTATGCGGGAGAGATGAAGGAAACGAGAGAAAGAGAGAGCTTCCAGATCCGACAGAAGTTTTCGGCTTCTTCGTTTTGTTTAATAACTTCTGGTCCGAAGAACTGATCCTTTTGCGTTACGACGCCGTTTTAATTGGGAAAAAAATAATAAGCCCATTAACCATAGTCTCGGCCCAAATAAAATTTATGCGACAGCGTTTAAACTCAAAACTTTGTCGATTTTAAAGGTAAAAAAACTGGAGTCCTCTAGAAATCGGCGTCGTCGCCTTAGTTTTTAAGTTTTCTCGAAACAAAAGATTTGTTTTATTTGAACTTTGAAGATTATACAAAGACACGTGTCGTGAACGATACTCTTTTGCATGCACCTCAATTTGAACATCATCAAGTCTCTCTCTCTCTTTTTCTGACTTTGATCTCCGAATCTAAACAGTTTCTGATCTCTATTTAACCGATCCTCGATTCAACTTCAACTACTACATCCATTCACATAACATCAACACATAAAGTTTCTTTATGTTTAAGCATGTCCAAATTAAAAACCGATTTCATCATGCACTTATTTGTCTCATTCGTATGATCAGTCAGAACCGGTTTTAAAATCTCAAAAAACTATCTAACACGTTTCCAAATGGTCTCGATTACTTTGACATTGGAAAACTTACCGATCAAACTCTAATTGATAATGAAGCAGTTTCTCAAGAGCTTAGGATTAAACTGTAAATCTTCCTGAAATGAAATCTACCATTAAAGAGTTCGAAGATCACTTTCATGGAGGAAAGAGGAAGGAGACCTAGCACTTGGATAAAGCTGGAAGGCGAAGCAGAATATAGCACTAGCAGCAGAGAGTAAACGTCTATCTAACCCACCAAAATTTCCGATCTAAAGATAAGGAGAAAGGTCTCGGTAAAATCACTAAAAGTATCCAATTTGCAACGGAATCGGCGTCTAGGTTTTGGGGATATTAAAAAAAAAAAAAAAACTCAATTTTATTTGTTTATAAATTTTAACAATATATATTAATCGGTAAGAATAGACCAGGTCAATCACATGAAACCCGGTATTAGCAATCAGATAAATATTTTAAAATATTTTTTTATTCATATCCTCCAGTTACACATTAAATGCATGGGATCAAACTGATTAAGGCACTTAACATTAAAGATTTTTGCTCTAGCTTAACAACATACATGATATGTTTAAGCTTTGCAATTGTACAAACAAGTACAAACAGCTTTTTCTTTGCTTCCTAGACACAATCCAAACGCATATTCGTCGGCGAAAACTCGTTTACAAGTCATTCGGCATGTTTGAAAGTCGCATTGCTTGCCTAGGTCTATGACCGTCCTACATTCTCTGACCTCCTGTGCACTCGAAGAAGCCAAAAAGCCTTTAAAACAAATAAAATTGTATTAAACAATATATGTTTTAAAGATATATCAAGTAATTGAACGAGCAAATTTTATAGATTAGTTCGAAAGTATTTTAACCTATAGAATAATAGTAAAAGTATGTAATGTACGATACTTATATACTAACTGATCATCGCATTTCTAATCAGCTATATATCTAACTAATTCTTATATAGTCACACTCAATTACTTTTCACTGAATTGTTTTGTTAGGTTATTTTTTTGGGGTCCAAATATTACCCAACCATGCTTAAAAGAACTAGACGCATCGATTTCAAAAGCTAAACTTATAACATGTTCAATGAAATTAAAGCATATATGAATTTTTACCTGAGAGAACAAACATGCAGATGAATAGATACGAAAAGAGTAGTTTGGCCATGACTTGTGAAACAATTAGAAGATTAATATATATTTTGTTACGAGCAATTTTAGATATTGAAAGCTAGATAGAGAAAGAACGGTTTTATAGTGATGCCTGATGAGAGAAACATTTGAAAGAAAAGAAAGAAAAAAACAACTCTTTTGGGCAACATATCTAAAACTAATGTAAAAAGAGTAAAACAATTACTTGGCAACAAAATTTATCCATAATATGTAATCTGAATGCTGACTATTGACTAACATACTGGGAAAAAAATCAGGAAGTATTAAATTCTTCTTCATTTCTTAAGAAATTACACAGTTTATAAATAATATTTGGTACATTTATATGGACCATAGTCACTAGGCCTGGACATTCGGATTTTGGTTCGGATTTTTTGGATTCGGATAATTCGGGTAGAATAGTTCATTATCCATTCGGATTTCATAACTATTCGGTTCGGATAGGGTCGGTTTTGGATCGGTTTTCGGAAAAACAAAAAACTGTGTGACTATACGTAAGTTTAGGTAATTTTCTTAGGTACAAATGAACCCACATATTTCATCTTCATTCCTTTTCGATAGGGAATTATAGAACATTAGTTTTGAATTAAGACTATAGTGTGAGGAAAAAAAACTGAACTGAACCAAACTAAAGGCAAATCAATAAAACGCACCATTTAAATAAGAATTAAAACGCAACGTTTTACGAAAAAGATTGGATCCTTTAGAATTTTTATACTCATGATCAGGTTTTGAAGGTCTCTCCAAAATGTTGACTTATGATTTTGTTCGAGCCGAGGGACAAATAATTTATTTAGATTTATAATGTTCTCGGTTCAGACCAAGTTCATGATTTTTTTATTCAATAAACAATATTGTCGTACCAAAATCTTCATATTAATAGAAAATCAAAGAAATTAGGAAGCAGAGAACAAAAAACAGAAACCAGGCACATGTAACGTAACCAACAAGAAATGTTAATCTCTTGCCTACGTAACTAAAGATTATTCTTGTAGTTTCCGCTGTTTCTCATCAGCTCAGAGTCCAACGACAAGTCTTCCTGATGACAAACAAAATCAGAACAGCTATGAACAACAACTGACGGATACTGAAGACATCCAAATCAGTGAAAACCAAAGAAATTATGAAATAACAGAGCAAAGCAGCAACAGTAGCAATAGAAACGTAAAGCAACTCTTTTCCAAATCCTTCTTGAGGCTCCAGTTGTTTTGGTATGAACATATCGATATCGCTCGGGAAATTTCTGCTTCGTAACCGCCTCTTAACCCAATGAACCATAGCCACCATAAAATTGACATCAATATGGCTACAATGCAAGTGACAAAAACCAAACCAGTCAGAACCAAGAAAACTTTTCAAGATTCTACAAATTTACTTGATAATGACAAAGCAATGGATAAATACAAAACCATTAACTTCGATTATCGTTACCAAAAATCTTTAGAGGTGAATCCAGGCTCAGTGCATATAAGATTCACATTTGCCTTCCAAATATCAGCAAATGAATGACCATTGATGCCACGAGTCTTCAACGTTTTCACAAAGCACTCCCCAAATCTTCCTTGGAACATATTCACATCCTCTTTTGAAACCCTATAGTAGATAGGGACTAACACAAGTTTCCCTTCCCTACGTCGATCATAAATCCTTACGGCCTCATGCAGACACCACTCTGACGCTGCGTACATGTCAGAGAAGATCACTAGTGCGACATCTGAGCTTTCGATCGTTCTGAAAATATATTTGATGCCTCTTCTTGCTCCTCGCTCGTCGCTACCTATGAAAACGTTAAACCCTTGGTCCCTTAAGGCAGTTGCCAGTTCCCTAACGAAGTAGTCGCTCAGATCGTTTCCACCATGGTTGATGAACACATGAGGTCGTGCTTCCATAGCCATTGGATTAGGGATTTTTTTTATTTTTTTTTTAAAACCAAATTAAACTCCGAACGGTCAAATTTATACAAAGTTTTTTTTGTTTCAATTCCAAAAACAAACTGATTTAAAGACACTGCTGTTTTCGAAACAAATCTATTTGTCAAACTTCTGTTTTCAAGAAGATCACTATTTCAAAAAAAATTAATTTAACCAACCATTTTATAAAAAAAATCCATATGAAAAATTGGAAACTCTAACGTTTCATTTTTCTAATTTGTACTGTGTGAAATCGTTCAAAATTTAGTTACATAAATGAATTTTTGCCTTCTAGAAATAAATGCTCGGTATATTGCGGCAAATAATTGGTACAAAGAAAAGTATGTAGACTGTACTATACGAAATGTCCAACAGTCGAATCTGTACAAATAAACGTTTGTTACACATTCCCAAACGAAAAATCATTAATAAACACATGTTTTTAGTCTTCTTCTTTTTAACACCTGTTTTCAAAACTAGTCATACGCTGTTTGAAGAAGATACACTGTTTTCAAATATTAAAATTTTAAAGCAAAATCCAATTTCTAAACAAGTATTCCTAATACTTTGACTTTATTTAATACTCCATCCGTTTCAAAATGTAAAACGTTTGGATGTATTATTTTTGTCTCAAAATGTAAGACGTTTTCAAGTTTTATGCAAATTATATATTAATTTAATATTTTTTGAATATTTATATTATGCAGTCTCATTCATGATTGGTTGAACTTTTTAAAAGTGGATATTTCTTAATCTGCGTGTTTTTAACTAAAACGTCTTATATTTTGAAACGGATGGAGTATTAAATTAATATAGTTATTATTCACTGTACTATAACCTCGCTCAAACGGCATCTGATATTTCTAAGTAGAAACTGGGTCAATCACATGAAACCCGGTTTTATTGCAATTTGCAGCCAAACAGAAAGTAAAAAGTTTTTTTATTCATATATATGACCACATCCTCCAGTTACATGGAACCAAAGTAATTAAGGTACTTAACATTGAAGATTTTTGCTTTAGTTTAACAGCATACATGAGAAGTATGTTTAAGCTTAGCAATTGTACTCACAAGTGCAAACTTTTACTTTGTCTCCACGACAAGTTGCAAATCCAGTATTGTAAACTCGAAAACACTCATTTATGCATGATTCAACATCGCATGGGTGGCCAAGTTTTATGACCGAGGTACATGTTTTTAACTTCTTTGCACTTGAAGAGGCCAAAAAGCCTAAAACAAAAACAAATTGCATCAATACTTACATTTTTGAAGTATATCAAGTAAATGATAATAGCATATGATATCCCCATTTATACTAAAGAAATGAAGAAGCCAAAAAAAATGCATTAATATTTTCAAAAACATTAAATAAATCGTATTAAATATTTTGTAGGGGGAAATTATTGTATGGCAAATTGGCAATAGACATTAAACATTAAATAAATTGCAATAAAATGGGTCAATAATCTAATGATTTTTTTTGGGGCATAAGATTTCCTCAGCCATGCTTAAAAGTACTAGACGCATCGATTTCAAAAGCTAAGTTTTGAGTTTAGCATAATTCAATGTAATACAAGGCATATACGAATTTTTACCTGAGAGAACAAACATGCAGATGAATAGATACGAACAAAGTAGTTTTGCCATGACTTGTGAAACAATAAAGATTACGTCAATTAGTCTGACAATTGTTTGTTTCAGAATTTCTTTATACTGAAAGATGAAATAGAAAAAAGAAATTGTATTTATAGACAGAAAAAAAAAACTCTTTTTTTTTTTTTTTTCTTCGCTGATCTTTTTTAAAAAAACTCTTTAGGGCAACATTTTGAAACTAATGTGAAAAGAGTCAAAGTTATTATTATTTGGCAAAAGCATTTCTCCATAACAATAAATTTGAACGTTGACCAACAAAATGGAACCAAGATAAGATTTCTAAAAAAGTACACCGCGGGATCGTACCATATATAATATTTAGTCAACACATAATTTATTTGCATTTACTTTTCTATGGAAAATCTTATCACAAAAATTATTAATAAGGAATATTCCTTATCAAATTATGGGAAGAACAAAAAGGACCAAAAATATTTACAAATAAGAAAATTACAAAAAAAAAAATTAACAAAATAATTAAAAAATATTGATTCAATAAGTTGACAAAAGAATTAACTATCTGGACTCTAGTACTTTGCGTTACATGTGCTGTCACGGCTTAACTAAGCTACTCTGTACATTTTTTTATTCTTTGAACAATCAATTAAACAATAAAACAAAAAAAATATTAAAATATTTTTAGATGACTATTAGAAAAAATAATTTTGAAACTTTATATCAATAAAAAAGTAAAAACTCCTCATTAGATACATATCTAAAATCAGAGTCAAACTATTTAATTTTCATAATCCTTATGTATAAAAATCCTACATGTTCTAAATCTATCCATTATGGTTTTGAATTGTGACCAACATAAACCGAGGAATATTAAAGTCTTATACGTTTCTAAAAATACACCTTACTGTACGTACAAATGATATTTGGTACATCTAAACCCACATGTTTCATCGTCATTCCTTACCTCTAGGAAATTAAAGAAAAATGTATTTTTCTTTTTTTTTTTTTTGGTGTGTCATAGGGAGGCAATGCCTCCCCGAACTTTATTACTAAACTGAAAAAATACAAACTAAATTCGGACATGCCTTGGAAACGCAGTTCCTCGGACATCATCCTCAACAATCGTCGCCACAGAAGGTGGGACAACCTCTAGAAAATGAAAACCTAAAGGTAATGAAAACGCATAGTTAGCTAACCCGTCAGCAAGACGGTTAGCCTCCCTATACACATGAGAAATTCGGACAATCCAGTCCCTTGAAAGAAAGCCATGGCACAACCGCACCAGGAAAGACAACGGGTTCGTCTCGCTAATCCCCTTTGTCAAAAAACCAACCACCACCGCTGAATCCACCTCTAGCTCCACCCTTCTAATGTTCCTCTCCCAAGCAATATATAGCCCATAATATACCCCCCATAATTCAGCTAGAGGGGCTGAACATATACCCACATTTAAGGCAAAGCCACCACACCACCGGCCCGCCCCATCCCGCAACACTCCCCCTGCCGTCGCCAGCCCTGGATTGCCATGTGATCCACCATCCGTATTCAATTTCAGCCATTCCCCCTCCGGAGGCTTCCAAGCAATCATGCTTTCCACCCGTGGTCTCCCTCTGTCTTGTTCTCGGACCAACATATGAGCATGATGAACCTCATTAGCCAAATCTCTTACAAACTTAACCCGGTCCCTACACTTCCCCACCTCCCCAAAGACATATCCACACCGCCATTTCCAACTCCACCACACCACCATAGCAAACATAGTTGACCAAGGGCATCCCGTCTCATCACTCTCGACCCGCAAGTTTTCATAAAGCCACTCCAACAAAGAACACACAAAGAATCTTGACATCTTTCTTCGCGGTACTATCCGTCTCCAAATACCCTCAATAGACGGGCAATCGCGTAAGACATGTAGTATGGTCTCATCTCCACCTCTACAAACTTGACAGACCCTCGTATTACACATATGTCTGCGAAAACGTTCCACATTCGTCATTATAGCTTGATGACCAACCAACCATAAAAAGACTCTAGCCCTCTCAGTCGCTTCCACTTTCCAAATCCGATCAAAGAACCTAGACATTTCTTGTCTCGGAGAATCGTTTCTGGTTAACAACGAGTACGCCGACTTCACCGTAAAGGCTCCATCCGCCGTACTACACCAAGACAACCTATCCCGAGCTCCCGTAATGCTATCAAGCACCACCGCCGCCAACTCCAACCGTGTATTGTGCGGTAAGTACGGCATTATACTCTCGAGTTTCCACCCCGAGCCTTCAGCCCAATACTCTGTTACCCGCAGCTCCCTGTCTTCACTAGGTACCTCCCTTATCACTTTCTCCAGCAGCGACTGATCTGAAAGCCACTTATCCTCCCAGAAACGGATTTCCTTACCATCACCTAACACCCACCTACTTCCGCGGATCACCACTTCTCTCAAACCTATAGCCACACTTCTCCATGTTGATGAGGCTGGTTTCTTTTTATCCATCCATCTTGGCTCTTGTAACTCACCAACTTTGTACTTGCTCCTCAAAACCCGAGCCCACAAACTGGTTTTATCATTCAACAGTCGCCACCCGACTTTAGCCACCAATGCTGTGTTCATATGTTTTGAAGACCGGATACCTAGCCCTCCTTCTCGCCTTGGTACACAAACTCTGTCCCAGGCCACTAGATGTTGTTTCCTTCTTTCCGGTGAGCTCCCCCACAGGAATGATCTAGCCAACTTATCAAACCCCTCCAAAGTGGACTGTGGTAAAAATGTATTTTTCTTAATGTTGATTAATTGTTAAAGAATAGAAACAATATTTTGATTTTTCTTTCTTTTCTAGGTCACAAAATCGCCGTTGCTCTCGATTTAAACCCGGTTCATGATTCTTAATAAAATAAGCATTAGTATTATCGTACCAAAATCTTCTTATTAACGACAAAACAAAGAAACTAGGAAGCGAAGGAAGCAGAGAGAAAAAAAAAAAAAAAAAACTTGCACATGTAACGTAACAAACAAGAAAGGCTAATCTCTTGCAGATTATTCTTGTAGTTTCAATTGTTTCCCATCAGGTAAGAATCCATCGAAATGTATTACGGATGACAAACAAAATCAGAACAGCAACGAGCAACTGACGGATACTGAAGACATCCAAATCAGTGAAAACCAAAGGGAGAATGAAATAACAGAGCAAAGCAGGAATAGCAACATAAAGCAACTCTTTTCCAAATCCTTCTTGTGTATTCGGTTGTTTTGGCATGAACATTTTGAAAATGCTAGGTAGATTTTCATCTTGCACACGTCTCGGTAGTTTTTTGCCTTGTAAACGTCTCTTAATACCCCTAACAATCTCCACCACAAGGGAAGTATCATTGCTGCAATGCAAGTCATGACAGAAAACTAAACCAATCAGAACCAAAACTGTTCCCATTGTTCTTCTATATTCACGAAAAAAATAAATTGTTACCTGTAATCTTCTGAGATGTAACCAGTGTCTGTGCAGATAAAATTCACATTTCTCATCCAATGCTCAGCAAATGGATGATCACTTATGCCCTGAATCTTCAACGTTTCCAAAAAACTCTCCCCAAATCTACCATTGAACATATTCACGTCGTCGGTTGAAACCCTATAGAAGACAGGAATCAACACGAGTTTGCCTTCCCTACGTCGATCATAGATCCTCACCGCTTCGTGCAAACACAACTCTGACGCTGTGTACCTGTCAGAGAAGATCACTAGTGCGACCTTTGAGTTGTCGATCGCTCTGAAAATGTGTTCCATGCCTCTTCCTCTTCGCTCGTCACTATCTATGAAAACGTTAAACCCTTCGTCCCTTAAGGCACTTGCCAGATGCCTAATGAATCCGTCGCTGAGATCGTTTTCACCATGATTGATAAACACTAGAGGACGTGCTTGTATCGCCATTGGATTAGGTTTTTTATTTTCCCCAAATAGTACTCCGAACAGTCAAATTTATACAAAGTTATTTTCTGTTTCAGTTCCAAAAAAGAAAATGATTTAAAGACACTGCTATTTTCGAAACAATCTATTTAAATGATCTATATGGGAATGTGTTTAAAGCTCAGATATCGGATAGCGTGAACTCTGTTTCCAGTAAATACATCCAAAGGTAAAACTACATTGAGGGGTTAACAAACAAGAGAGGACTTTAAAGGTTCATAGGTCTTTGTTAAAAACACAATTCTGAATTAATGTTTGATAAATTTGAATACTATTATTCAAGCCTGTAGACAATTTGCAGAGAAATGCAGACTATTGCAAAGAAAGGTCTTGTTCATTTGATGAATTCTAAGTAAGACAAAAGTTAACAGTCAGCAATCAGAGTCTATATATATAATAAGCTAAGCAGAAGCATTAAGATAAAAAAGTACTTAAGCCATCAGCAATCAAGCAAACAAATTTCAAGAAAACAAGATAACAACAGAAGCATCAGAATCTATAAACCATTCAAATGTCATCAAAGAAGACAATTGATAAAGGTGGTTTTTGTGTAGGAACACAACTGATAAGAGAAGTGTTTTCAGAGTGAAAACACAATTGAAAAGAGAAGAGTGTTTTCAGTGGAAACACAGATGAAAAGAGAAGAGTGTTTTCCGTGGGAACACATTTGAATCAGTGCCTAAAGCTTTGTTTTCTTCATCAACTCCAAACGTTTGCTGTACAAAGAGAGAAAAGTGTTAGAGACAGAACATTAGTTAAACTCATCCAATGTCTTTTAAAGAAAAAGCCAATGAAAACTTACCAAACAATGGCATTGCTTCAGTGTGTAACACGAGGATTAGCAGCCTGTGGAAAGATAGAAAATTGTAATCATTCATCGAAAGGAAATATATATAGATAACTTTACGAATATTGAAAGAGGGCTTACTAAGTAATCCATTTCAGCATGTGTCAAGTGACGGCGGTAAGCTCTCTCAAACCTCAGCCAGTTACCGTATTCGACCGCATCTTCATCACTCCATTCTTTACCAAAGTCAAGACAGGTATACGGATTTGGTAGTATACTATTACGGCGACGATTGTCCTCTGCACGTTGTTTCCTGTACTCACCTTTGTTGGACAACTCCTTCGGTGGACCATTATCCTCTTCAACAACGGTTTTGGTTCCTTTATTTGAAGACATAAGACGATTATCACTAAAACCAAAGCTGTAAACACATCATATACAGTTTTGTTCTTACCACTTGCAGATCCTGTTTCACCTGCCACAGCAGCTTTGCTCTTACCATATGGGGAACCTGTCGACGATTTCCCCAAACCAGAAGAAGGAACAGGTTTTTTCTTACCACCTTCAGAATCCAACAACAAAACCATTAAACTCAACAAATCATATACAATAATCAAGCAGAAAAACAGATCAACACGTCATTGTGGCCAACATGTCACCCTAGTGAGCCATGGTCCACGGAGCAGGATAAGATGCTATTGAATACGGAAAACTAAATTCTTTTTTTTTTTAATAATAAAACAATTAAGACAAATTTACCTATAAACAAATAAAATATTATATTCTCAATATTCCCAATATAAATTTATGAAAATTTTAAAGTAGGTTTTAGACACTAATATAAACAAATATAAGTTTCTGATGCTACCAAAATTTACAATCAATATGGCTTTTTCTAACCTAGCCGTCATCATCCAGCGAGGGAGAAGAAGAATGAAGAGGAGATCGACGGTAATAAAAAGAAGAAGAAGACAAAGAGACATATGCAAGAGCCACGAACCGGTGCCGGAGATTCCTTTTGATCTCGTGATAGAGATTCTCACGAGACTGCCTGCTAAATCCCTTATGAGGTTCAAATCCGTCTCAAAGCTCTGGTCACTTTTGATTTGTTCCAGAACTTTCACCAACCTTTTCCAAAAAGTTTCATCATCACCACCGCGTCTATACATGTGGTTGGACGTAGACAACAGGAATGTATTACTGTCAACGTCGTCTTCTCCTGATGACTCGGACGTGTCTTCCTTTGTAATTGACCAAGAATTGACCATCCCACCGAATAAAGGCTACTACCTCTCTCACGTTTTTGGTGGCTTAATGTGTTTCGTAAATGAGTCAAGGGCAAAGATATACAACACTACCACTAGACAACTTGTTGTCTTACCTGACATAGAAGAATCCAATATGATAGCTGAAGACCACAAGTATAAGAAGATCATGTACCATATCGGACACGATCCCGTTCATGATCAATATAAAGTGGTTTGCATTGTTTCAAGACCCAGCGACGAATATGGAGAGCACTCGTACCTGTCAGAGCATTGGATCTTGCTACTAGGAGGAGATAGATCTAATCGATGGAGAAAGATTCCAAGCCGTTGCCAACCACATGTTCCTGTAACACAAGTATTGAATATCAGTGGGCGTATGCATTACCTCGCTTGGGTAGGATTTCTTTATTCTGTGCTTGTCAGTTTCGATATTAATTCTGAAGAAATCAGTATTCTTGAACTACCTAAAGAAAACGATTTTTTTCCTAAGATGACTGATCTTATTGAATACGGTAGAAGAGTAGCTCTTTTACACCATATTGATCTTAAAAGGCAAGGTGTGTTGAATCTATGGGTCGTGGAAGATTCAAAGAAGAATATGTGGTCGAGTAAGACTTTGGTGTTGCATCCTTCTCAAATGCATCTAGTCAATAGCATCGGTTTGAAGGTACAAGGTACAACTAGAAACGGTGAGGTTGTCTTGGTACCTCAAAATTACACTTATACTCACACCGGCAAGGTTACATGTAACCCTCAAGATACAAGTCTTTTCTACGTTTTACTTTACAATCTACAAAATAATCATATGAGAAAAGTCGAAATCAAAGACACATCAAACCGATATCTTACCAGAGATTGGGACGTTATTGGATTAGATGATATTCACAACTTAATATATCTCTAGTCGCTTGGGCGTCTATTTTTTGTTTGCCAAAAATTTACTAATAGATTTTGTTTGGATGTTTTGTTCTTCGTTATGCTACCTTACTCATTAAATATTTACTCCATATATGTATTAGTACCTGATTTGAATGAGTGATTTGAATGGATTTTGTTTGTTCTGTTTCCAAACGTGGTTCTTGGTTCTAAACATTGTGATTACGCCTCGGGCTGCATAACTAAGGTCTGTAAAACAGGACTTAGGTGGTCTTTTTGTTGGTTGCAATTTTCTGCAACAGCTTCCTAACTAGGATCTCTCTTTTCAGCTACAAGAGTTGGCAAAGGAATTTGATATGCTGGCAACTTGTTTTATTGACATAGACGATAGCAGTTTTAGCATTACCTCAACACTTTCACTGAGCTGTTCAGTTTTGGCTTTTGCTGCTGGAATAGTTCTTTTCCTTCCAGATTTTTTTGACAAAACAAACGCCTAGAATATAGCATGTGTTATTAAGGATAGTAGTGGCTATCAAGCTTTTGTATTCATGATTCTCCTACAGTTTGTCAGTGTTTAGTGATTATGAAATGCATAAAAATGAAATTATTTGATTATGTAGAAGAAACCTATCAATTTCTGCAACTAATTGATGATATGCCTAAAGAAGTCAAATGACCAAATCCAAGAGATAATAACAATTTCGCAGCACAATGAAAGAGAGGCAGAAGAAGAAAGATACAACAACTAAGCAAAACAAAAGATCCAAAAGAAGTTTGCCAACGTTAATACAATATTCTATCAACTTCTAGTATTCAGAGTTAGATTAGAAGAATAGAGAAAGGTATGTTTTACTATACGTAAAACACTAAGGTCTTTTGAATGGCAACACAATTCGGGTGTGATGCGATGACCCTAATCGCATGTCACCATCGAATGGCAAAACGATTAGAGTGTGATGTGATTCAAGTGTTGTTAGCAAGCGATTAGGTTTTTGTAATTTACTCTTACTCTAATCATTGCACAATTGAAGTTTAAACCTATGATTAGGGTGCGGCAAGTATGATTTATAGATATATTTACCAATATACCTTCAATTGTTTTTATTATATCTAATTAACAAATTTTAATATTTAAGAATGAAAATGAACAAAAATGAAAGAAAAATAGCCAAAATGAGGAACATAAAAGAATATATGCATATGAAAAATTGAACAAATACTTATGGTAAATAGTAACTAAAATGTTGGGTAAATATTTAACATAAGAATAAATTTTTTTAAAATTAATTTATTGAATTTTAGTTCTATAAATTTAATTTAAAAGTAATATTTATAGAAATTTAAAATATACTATTGTTTTAAAATAATAGAAATTTCATTTTAAAACACTATTTATTTATTTAATCGTCAATACCAGTTTAAAATAAAGTCATAACATTCATTTAAAGTAAAGGTTTTAATAAAAAAAAATTTCTATAAGTATATAATAAAAATACGAAAAATATGTCTATATATAAATGTAAATATTATCATTATTTTTTTTTAGTTATTTAATAATAAAAATAAATTTAATTTTTTTGTTCCTCTTTGTTCGTTCACAATTTGAGAGAGAAACAATTTTGTTCTATCATTTTTTTTCTTAAAGAATGGAGAAGAAATGTGTAGGACCCTCATGTGTGCGAATTATACAAAGATTTCTTGTAATGGTAAAAAAAAATTAAGGAACAAATTGAGTATGATATTCCTACTCATTTTTTTCCTCAAAAATGGTTATGAATTGTACCATAATAGTTCAAGAAACCAAACCAACAAAAAAAAGCCCAAATCGTTTTGATCATCAAAGCATGTGGACACTAAGAAGCCTTGACCCACCTGGTTAATCAAAAGTATATATTGCCCCTAGTGGATTATTCGTCAACCATTGATTGTAGATATCCTTCTCAGACCTCTTCATCCAGCGGTAACCTTTCTCATAATGAAACCAATTCACATGGATCTTATGATAAGCACCAGTCCAATGATTAAAATCATTCAGGTTAGGGCACAAGTGCGAGTTTACAGGAAACGACATAGCAATGCGAGCATTCTCTTCATGTTTTGCCGCGATTGCTTGATAATTGGTAAGCTCTTCTGGAGGATCGTTATCCTTATCATCATTATTTTCAACTCCAAAATAGGACAAAACTCAGACCAAAACATAAAAACATAATGTCTAAATAACCAAGACATGTTTAATAGTTGATTCAAATTTCTCTCAAACAAGGGTTGTCTTCTTAGCATTATCATCCTTGGGTGCAACATTCTCATTGATAACAGCTACAAATTAAAGATGATAGTATAATCAGGCCAAAATTTAAAACAAAATGAGTAAATAACAAATAAATGCTTAACATGATTCATTTGACTCACAAAGACTAGTTTTTTCTTAGCACTCTCATCAATATCAGCTGGGTTTGGCTCCTTCAAAGCGGTAAAATAGAAAAAAAAATCTAAATAGATTGAACAATATATGTACAAATTACATATAGTTTACGTAAAATATCTCTCTAAAAATACATGTTAAATGGTTTATTAGTGTTAATTCTAAACCTTACCATCATCAACTTTATACATTTATTTTCCATGAGCGCAAATTTATTTCTATAGTGGTTGTTGCCATTGTGACTGTTTTAACCATCTTTGTGCATATCAAGCTCTAGTTCATAATCATAACCATCCGCTTATGTGCCTTATGTTACGCGGAACGCTCATAACATGATATTTCCATTTTTGGATTTATGGATTGATGCAAATATTTGATGGTCCATGGATTTTTTTAAAAATTCCTAAATAAAGTAAAAACTGTTGATCTTCCCCGATAGTTTGAGTAGGTTATAATATATCGTTCTTTTTTTTACCCTGCAAATTATTCCATTTTGATTCACTCTACATGATGTTGTTCTTTTTTTTAATTTGTGCTAACATATGCACTTGATTTTCTTGATGACTAAGAAAGCGCGAAAAGGAGCCGAGGAGTTAACAACGACGTAACATTACAGGTAAGTGATTGAAGGTTTTGTTAAGTAATGTTTCTTAATATTATATTGTTCTTGGTTTTTGGATCGGAGATTGGTTTTGATTGAATTGATATATACCATAAATCCATACTATCTAGTAGCCATGTCTAGAAACCAATTAAACTTTTATATATTATTTAACTGTAATTTTGGTACATGTTTTATGAATACGATGTTTACTTAGTAGTAATTTATTTATAGTGTTGTTTAGCTCGTGGTTGAGACTTATGTATTCTCTCTTATATCTCTCTTGGTTTTTGTTTTTGCTTGGTTTGGATGCTTTATGTGTCTCGTATTTTTTAACTTATGTGTTTTTCGTTTGAAGTTGAAGCAAAAACAATTTAATATTATGGTCTTGAATGAAAATACGGGATGGAATTTAACATTTACTCAGCAGATAAAATAACACAATCAGTTTATACCGTATGTAAAATACAGCGATACAAGCAAAAACGCATATCCATTGGATAATAAATCATAAATTTCTTTATTCACCAAAATCACACAATTCTCTATTCTTTTCATATGCAAGGAAGAACAATAAATAATTTTATTTTCACTTTTTATGGTAAACACTTTTTCTTTCTCTTTTTTTAACAAAATACTAGGATATGACCCGCGGTCCACCGCGGGAGAATATTGGTTTACATACGTTGATTTTAATATTGTGCGCGTTTTAAGTAGAGCGAATCGTGTAGTGTACTTATAAATATTCATAATAACGAATTGTAGAGAAAATATTAAATTGTTTATAATTAAACCGATCATATTAATTATGATTAAAAAATGGGATTTTATGTTTTAGAATTCTAATATTAGACGATTCATAGGAAACCGTGGGTCGAGCCCAAATCATCTCACTATGGGGCATATTTGGGAAAATATATTAAATCCGCAAATAAACGGGCCACATGGATTGATTCGCAGTGGATCATAGGTTTTAATCGGTTTTCGTCCGAGGGTTGGCGGATCAGCCCGCATGTTAGTATTTATTGATAAAAATATAATTTGTTCAACATTTGGTAATTTAAAAAAACTTTTAATAAATGAAATTATAACATTTATAAATATATTGATATATAAAATTATTTTCTCTAAATTTGTTTTATTTATTTATTTTAGTAGTATTTTAAATTTTTGCTACTTTAAAATTATTTAAACAAAATTCACGAATAACCCCGCAAATCAGCATATATTCGCGGGACGGGTTTGTGTTTCATATGTGCTACCCGCGGATCGTGTGGACCGACTAACTATATTTCAAAATATATTTTGCCTATCACAAAACGGGGTTAACGGGACGAATCAACTCGCTTCGACAACTCTAATGGGAATATTATTTAGTCATACAACAAAATAGAGTTTGGACATAGGAATAATAGAATCTATATCTTATTTGTTAGATGAGAGATTGAAACTTTGAAAGGTGAAATATAATGATTAAAAATTAATTATTATTTTTCATGATTCACAAAATTTAATAAATATCTATCATCTTGTTAAATAATTCTATAAATCATATTCAATAAATTTTTATAATTTTAAAATTAAACTTCTTTGGTAAGCTATAAGTATGAAAATACCATAATTTCGATTTAATCTAATTAAATTAAAATTAGCTACATGGATTTCATATCTGTTTAATTTACACGACCAAAATAAAAATATCTATTTAATTTATAAAATAGATGAGTTAGTTGTGATAAATTTTCTAGAAATCTTTTGAAACAAGTAAGATATCTTTCAATTAATGATAATTGGCTAAAATAAGCAAAATTAATGACAAAACGTTGATTGTTATGGAATTAGTTCCAAAAATATATGAACAAATATATTATACGTAATTAATGTATAGTATTGTTCGGAATATGCTTTTCTAATTAGTTACCATAAATACAATCAGATTTTATTTGATTTCCATAAATATTTGATTTTAGTTCGATTTTTTATTATTAATTCGAATTTTATATTC